TTTAGCTCTTTGATCTCTTTGTCCTTTTTTGCTGCATTTCTCTGATAGGCTCGAGCTGCTTCAGCGAATCGTTCGTGGTCACAGACTAATTCCGTTTCATCCAAACCCTCGTCGCTATGAGGTACATATATCCAAGCGCTGTTTTTTTTCCATCATATCAGAATATAATTCAAATTCTTCATATGTTAGATCATCGTCTTCCTTATTTTCAGCGGCTGATAAGTAGGTGCGATTTACTGGTTGAACTCTCCATGCGCTTGAAGCTTCACTACCATTTTCCATATCAGTATCCTCATCTTGCAAATTGTATTTCGGAATAGCGCCATCCAACAGCCGTTTCTTCGAAACGAATTTCCGATCAAAATGTCGTTCGCATATAAAATGCTTCTTCTTAGCCACTTCCGGAAGTGACAGTCTTTCGGGCAACTTCGGTTTTTGTAAACTCGTACAGGATTCCTGTAGGTCCCCGGCAGGCAGATACGCAACATCTTCGCTGGACATCGTGAACAAAGTTGTGAGGTGGCTCTCCATCATATCCTTTATGTGAAAAATTTAATTAGTACATACATACATATGTACATTTGATTGCATCACCAAAAAAGGTTGCGGTTTTTCCTCGGGATTACAAATTTTATTATATTTGAAGACGTCCACCAAATCAAAAATCTCATTATTACGATTCCAATGAAAAGATTTTTAAATATTTTTATGCAGTTTTTTTAAGCTTAATCTGTTTTGTCATCCGAGGGAATTTTTTTCAAAAAGTTCTTTAAGAAACTATAAACTATTCATAAAACAATCCATTTTTGGAGGAATTTTCAAATCGGTCCAGCTCACGTAAATCTTAATATTTTTCCGAAATATTTTGGTGGAAGTCTTAAAATATAATAGATTTTAAAATTCCGATGGAAATATAGTACCGATTTTTTTTTTTATGGGAGGTGATGCAGATGGATATGCATCAAATATATGTATATATGCATCAAATATATAGGGCTAGGAATCTATTGGACATCTTCAAATGAACACGGTTAAGTTGTCTTTACGACTCATGAAATTTCGTTTAAAATGGCTTCAAACGGTTATTTATTTGGTTATTTGTACAATGATTTTGGGTTATATTGTGTCCAAATGCGTAAATCGAAAAAAAAAGTTACATACGCGTGGGTTCAAATGGTAATTTTACTCCATTGTCAAATGGGTCCCCAGGGGTCAGGATTTATATATCTTAGTTAAATATACAAAAACTATTTTATAGCTTAGACTTAGGTTAACTTATATTAAGCTTTAATTATGCTTTTATTATATATTAATACTCATATTTCATTATATATTAATATACATACATTTGCTATATATTAATATACACACATTTGCTACACAAAAAGTCTGGCTTGAAAATTAAGCGCCTCGGCTAAAATTACAAATGTATAATAGAGGAATTTTCTGGGCCCCATCCATTCAAATAATAATTACAAAGTGCTTGGAACTTGTTTGATATTTTTCAAAAGGTATTTTATTATTATTTACACATATCGATTGTCAATTCAAAATTCAAAAACCAAAAACTGTTACTACTGTCAAGTGGCTCATGTAATCCTTGTCGAATTTATGTCTAATCTTTTGTATTTACTTATCAATCCTTACTGCTTACTTTAGTAAGAGATGGAAATAGATTAGATAAGGATTAGAGACAAGAGCCACTTAACAGTAGTAACAGCTTTTGGTTTTTGAATTTGGAATTGTGTCGTTATTGCACAGGACCATCGATATGTAGGTACATACATATAATAATAGAATCACGTTGTGACTCTATTTTAAAATAAAAGATATTATTTGTTTAAATTACAAGATCGTGGTTTTTATTCATTAAATTGGTTTTCTAATAAATAAGAGCTGCGAAGGGAAGAATTAAATTATGAGTTGATTATTATTATACTTGCTGTCAGGAACATCAGGAACACTGCAATGCTAGAGCTGGATCCGGAACTGGAACCTCTACTTGAACTGGTCACTTTCACTTTAGAAATAGAACTGATTTGCAAAGTTTGCAAATTCCTCTTTTATACATTATTCCTGGAGTGGCATGATCGAATTTGATCAATCAGAATTCGATCGTTCCAATTTCATCTATATTAATTCCTAGCTATTTCATGCTACTTAACAGGCTAACCTAATATTCACGCACGCCGCCAATTTATTGTCAAAAATTTCTCATGCACAAGCAACTTGTATGAGATCAACCGAAATTGAACGGCGTGCGTATGAAGCTAACTTAATTTCCAATTTTTGTTCTGCGTGACATTTTGATTTGACGTTTCGCTCAATGAAATCAAATGCAAACGCATGCAAGTCAATTTCGGGTGACGCAAAAAAACAAATTCGACGGCATGCGTACCAAAACGCAAGCCGCGAATATTAGGTTAGCCTGTAACACTTGCAGTGGAGTAAGGTTTATGAGTACTTATGTTACTCCGGTGATTTACTTTTAATTGCTGATGAGGCGTGAGGTACGCGCTGCTTCACTTGATCTTACTTATGCTTGCAATAAACATGTATGCATGTACGTATGTATGTGTATGTGAATTATGCATTGTATACCCTGGTAGACAGCTACTAGCTAAATATCCCATGAATTCTCCAGGAGCGTTACCTTATGTATCGGGCAAAGTTTATATGAGTTTCTTAAGGCCCGTGTGCAGAAATTACCCTATAGTCTTCTATACGTGTGAGTTTTTGTCTTCTTTTAACACCCTAGTCAAATATATCTCCTTATGTATAGCTTCTCTCTTCTTGTCGTAAATCTTGTTGAGTATCTGTACTCTTTTAACATTCACGTATGTCATACTCAGCCAAATATAGCTTGTTCACTCTTTCAGTACTCCTACGAAGTGATTACCTCAATAACTACCGGTAGTCTTACCAAACAATTACCGCAAAACCTACCGGTAGTGTTACCAAACGATTACCACAAAACCTACTGGTACTCTTACCAAGCGATTACCGCAAAACCTACTGGTAGTCGTACCAAGCGATTACCGCAAAACCTACCGGTAGTGTTACCACACGATTATCCTATTCAAATTAAATTTTTTTCTTATCTTTTCTAACTTTTCATACATTTAATTATTTTGTAAGTTTTATGTCCCTTACATTAATAAATTAATTCAAATTAATTTAAATTAATTCAATAATAAAAAATTAAACAAAATGGTATCAAGCTTGGTCCGGAGCAAACTGAAAAAAAATTTGAAGTTCGGTTATTTACTTGCGATTCGCCAGCTCGTGCCTTCGTCAGTGGAGTCCAATCCCACAATGGTAAGAATAGCTGTCCTAAATGTTGCCAGGAGGGTAAATACTTGAAGAGGAGGGTTTGTTTTGAAAGAGGTTTGAAAGAATTAAGGTCAGATTCATCTTTTGAACAAAGATTGGATTTACGTCATCATAGTGATGCATTTAAAAAACATAAAAGCGTTTTAGAACTGGCAGGATTTCGCATGGTGTCACCATTTCCGTTGGATGTCATGCATCTTATCGATTTAGGTGTAATGAAAAAGTTGCTTTTGTTGCTAATTAAAAGAGAGAATGTAACGCGAATGAATCAAAGAATTAGTTTCGTCAATAAATTTGTTCCTTCAGAATTTGGGCGAACCTCAAGGGATTTGGATGAAATATCCAACTGGAAAGCCACCGAATTCAGGCAGTTTCTCTTATATAGTGGTGTATTCATTCTAAAGGATTGTATTCCCGACGACCTATATTATCATTTCTTACTGCTATGTTCTGGTATTCGACTACTACTATCTGAAAAGTCATGCAATGTAGAAGCTAATGTGGCTCAAAAAATTTTGGAGGATTTTGTTTCATATTTTGCTATTATTTATGGAGAGGAATTGGTTAGCTTTAATGTTCATTGTATTTTACATTTATCCGATTGCGCCAAAATGTATGGTCAGCTAGATAACTTTTCGGCATACAAATATGAAAACCATATGCAGTATATTAAAAAATTAATTAAAAGCCCAACCAAAATTCTACAACAATTATATTCGAGGCTTGGTGAAACGCAAGGATTTGATTCTGACTCAAACGAAACTATAAATCAGCAATTACTTGAGACACGCAAGAGAAAAGAAAAGGACTGTTATTATTTCAGTGAAAATTTCGGTGCCATAAAAGTTACAAGTATGATGAATGAATATATTTCAGATAGTTTAAAAGGGTTAGTTTTCCAAAAAACAGAAAATTTGTTTGAAGAACCGCTGGAATCATTTCCAGGACTGGGTATAATGCTGGTAAGTGAGTTGGGATCTGAACCTATTAGTTTTTTATTACAAGATATTAAGCACAAATTATTTTGCATTCCCGTTGATAATAAATTCATCATGATACCGATTTTACACCACCTGTTTCATGATTTTTCCAACTAATACTTTCGCTTTCATTACGCTACCCATTAAATTAAAATATGTTGATAAAGAAATAATAAATATAAAAGATAATAAAAAATCCATATCAATATATTAATAAGAATATAAAACTAAAGTACATACAAGAAAAAACATCATGGAAAATGACAAAAATAAAAATAATAATGGTAAGGAACTCTATTTTGTACTTATGTACCTATCATCGAAATAACACCTACAAACATATTTATCAATAGGAGAAGGATTTATAAAAAAACGAAGATTTGAGCTGAGCAATTCAACGCCAAATGGAGGTGATATTTTTTATTTTGTATTTAAGGGCGGTATTATCACTTGCGAAGCGAATGATTTTGGCGAAGCGAACGGTTTGGCGAAGCGAATTAAAAGGCAGAGAAGGCATTAAAAGTGTTCGCGATGCAAAGAACTTCCACAAGCTGGTAAAAAGGAACACTCTTAATGCATATTTAAGTTGCGTTTGCCAATCCATTCGCTTCGCCAAACCGTTCGCTTCGCCAAATTCATTCGCTTCGCAAGTGATAATACCGCCCTAAAGTTCTTTTGAAACTAACTCGGTTTCTTTATTATAGAAGTAACATAATTGTTGAAACAAATTATAGCCAATCAAAATAAAATGGACGAAAAAATAGCAGAAAACCAAAGACAGGTTGAAGGCCGCTTGGATGTGCTGGATCATCGCATTGATGCTATGGAAAAGGTTTTGTGTGAAAATGTGGGTTAAATAAATAAAAATTGGATTTATTTGCAATTAATATTTTGTTCCATTTCAGATGACTAACAGGAACGAGACAATGGCTCAAAATCGCCTGATGCGGGAGTGTAAAATAATTTTGGCGAAGGTGCAGCAGTCCGTGGGAAAAATTACCGGCGACATCGTTGATGAAGCAATAGTGGAAGTTGCTAGCGTACTTCCGCTTTTTACAATAGATGCAGCAATGGAAGTGGAGGAAAAGCTGAATGAGCATGAATACGCCACTGCAATGGTAATTTTTACATTCAAAACCTGGTCGAAACTAATTACGTATTTTTTAAAACAGAAAACGCACATACACACACTGAAGGGCGCTTCTGGAGACGTGGATCCAGTTATGCGAAAATTATTTGCGGACGAACTGTTGTATTTTTACAATTGGGATGGCAGAAAGGAAAAAAAAGCGTTGTCTAACCTAAATTTAGTCAACCAGATTTTATTTGGTAATATATAACATATATAGATATACGTAACTTTAATCTTACCCCTTTTATATCATTTTTAGACGTGTTTGTGACAAAAGGTCGACTGCAGCTTGAAAAAGAGGTGAAGAAAGCCGTGGAACTCAGCCACAATCGATTTAAACATAAGAAAGCAAAGG